GTTCGAGACACAATGCAAGCAAGAGCCCTACTGTCGCTTATAACAGGCCCCACACTGGACTCTGAGGGCCCAAACTGGCCTCAATGGGCCCCAGCCGGTCTATGGGGTCTCTACACCGCCACTGATGGCCCTATTATGGTCTCTGGGGTGCCAGGTTAGTCTGGTCCCTGAGGGCCCACATCGGCCTCTGAGCCTGGGGCCCCATACAGGCCTTTGAGGGCCAATACTGGCCTTTGAGGTCCCTACACCGACCTCTGAGGGCCCCGAATCGGGCTCCTCTGAGGGACCCACACTAGCCTCTGATGAACCCACTCCGGTCGCTGGGGGCTCAAGATTGAACTTTGGGTGCCTCGCACTGGGCTCTGAGGGCCCACATTGACCTCCGAGAGCTCCACACTGGACTGTAAGGGATCATATTGGGCTGGCCTGTGATGACCAACTGGTTTTGGAGGGCCAGTACTGGCCAGTGGCCACTCAGGGTCCCAAACCGGCTTTTGAGGGCCATAACCGGCATCTGATGGACCGAGCCGGACCCTGGTGGCCCAAAACAGGCCTCAGAGGGCCCCGCACCAGACTCTGTGCGGGGCCCATCTTTAGTTTAATCTTTAATCCCATCTTTAATCCCATCTTTAATCCCATCTTTAGTCTCTGGGGTCCAAGGAAGAACTTTTGGCGTTTCCTGCCGTCCTCCAAGGTTCCCTGTCAGTGTCTGTTGGTCCCCATGTCGGAATTTCGGAATTTGAGGGCCGTTATCTCGTCGCAGCGGGCCGGCATTAAGGTCTATTACCATATCGGTGTCACATCGGTTTCTGAGGGCCCATGTCTGCTGCCAAGGGTCCCTGGTCTCTGATAGTTCCATTAAGGTCTTTGAGGCCCGGGCCTGCCCATCATAGGCGCCTCACGCTATCTTCTTATTCTCTGCCGATCTCGGAGGGCCCCTGTCGATCTGTTTGGCCCGTGCAGGTTTTTACTAGGGCCGCTGCTAGTCTCTGAGAGGCCCATGTCGTTAGTTGTGTCTATTTTGGGTCGCATTGGCACCACACATGTCTCTTAGGGCCCATACCAGTCAAGGGGTCCCACATTGACCTCTCAAGGACCAACGCTGGCCTCAAGGGCTCACACCACCTCAGAGGTTCCGTTCCGAACTGGCCTTTGACGACCCCGCACTGGCCTTTGATGACCTCGAGCCCGCACTGGCCTCTGATGGCTCAGGCAGGTCTCGTAAGACCCACGTTGGCACGTTGGAATTCAATGACCCATACTGCTGTGCGAGGTCTCACCCGGTTTGTGAGGGTCAATCTCAATACTGGCCTTAACCCGCGCACCGACGGGGGGGGGCGGATATCCGCCCCCCCTGAGGTTTTTCGCGGATAGCGGGAAAACCGCGGCGCGTAGCGCCGCGAAATTTAGTATGACTATTCTCTCATCAATTTTACACATGGTGTGCAAGTTTGAACCTCCTAACTTTTAAGGTCAGGTCACCAGGTCACTTTGAATGACCCAACCTCAAGTCACTTTTTTGCAACTTTGTCACCGTGCCAGAGCTACAGTAGATGTCGGAGGCCTTTGAAAGTCGCAGGATGTTATTAGGTCATTAGTAGCTACAATTTGTATATCTCGGAATTTTGATGTCGGTGACCTAAGGTCAGGTCAATTTCGCGACCTCCCCATTATAAGTCAATGGGGGAAAAATCAACTCCCTGTTTTTACCACTAAAACGGGTCGGAATGGCCCCATATACCATACATGACTTCACATACGATCAACCTTCACTACCTTGAGGTCTGTTTTGCTGTTGGGCAGCTGTAAGGTCATGTGACGTCATCAAAGGTCACCAAAGGTTTTTTGCCAATAACTCCTTACAGGAACAAGATACAGCCGCGCGGATGGTCTCATTGTGTTCAGCTCGTCAAGACGCATCGAATGATATACATGATGACCTCGAGGTCACGTGACCTGAGGTCAACCTTTGACCTTGACCTTTCGAGGTCAACATATACATCATTCGATGCGGATTGACGAGAGGATCACGATGATGCCCTTAGTTTGTTCCTATCTTGACTACTTCGAAAGTTATTCGAGAAAAACCCTCTCCATATCTAGCGCCGCCATTTTGACTTTTTTGACCCCTGTGACGTCATCTTTGACCTGACCTGAAAATGACCTTAGTAAAAATTGTAGACCTTGTCCGTGCGTATCCGATGCCGTTTACCGCTTGTCGCTATCTTGCTTCGTTCTCGAGATCTCAGGGGGGGGCGGTCATCCGCCCCCCCCCCCGTCGGTACTAAGTTGGCGCAGACCCCCGTCGGTGCGCGGGTTAAATGATCTTACGCCGGGCTTATATAAGGGTCTCATACTGGTTTCAGAAGTTTTCCGCTACTTACGAAAAACTTCAGGGGGAGGGGGGCGGACATTCTCCCCCCCCCCCTCCGCGGTACGCGGGTTAAGCTAACACACCGCCCCCAGCGAGGGTCTACAGGGGCCCCTTTGCCAATTCGCCCCCCCCCCAACGCCAAGTTTACGACCGTACCTGGTGGCGCCCACTTCCGGACTATTGCGCCCCTCGGAACCGCTTTGGGCGCCCTTTCAGGGTTGTGCAACCCCAATAAAAAACACATAAATCCACCCCTGCCAGTGCCACACCATTTATGCAACCCTATATTGGTGGCTCTGAGGTACCCACACCTGCGCCTGTGAGGGTTCCACAAAAACATATCTGACGGCCACCTACCTGCAACTCTGAGGGCCCTACACCGGAGTTTCTGAGGGCCGGAATGGCGTCTCAGAGTACCTTGTCGGTATCTAAGGACCCCACAGGGCTTCTGAAAATGCCGCCGGCCTCTGGGCCCCTTGCCGGTCTGAGGTCCCCCCGCCGGTCGTTGAGAGCCCCCTGCCGAGTGCCGACTTCTGAAGGGTTCGCACCAGTGGGCCACACACCACAAGGGCCACACACCCACATGTAACGGACCCACACCAATATCTCTGAGGGCCTACAACAGCGTCTGTATTCTGTGAGGACTCTCACCGGCGCTTATGAGGGCTTCACACTAGCACCTCTGAGGGGCCACACGGGCGTCTGTGAGGACTCCACACCAGTGCCTCTAAAGGCCCCTACATAATTGGAGGCTCTGAAGGTCCTGCATTGGTGATACTGATGATCCTACCAAAGGCACAACACAAGCCATTAGTCTCCTTCTGAGTCCCACACCCCGCCCTCCCACCGGAGCGAGTAAACCTGTAGCAATCAACGACTTTACCACCGTTGTCCGTCATAATGTTCTCATCACGCCAAATCAAATACCATCCGGGACCAAAATGGTGCAGCATAAAATCTGGCCTACCAAAGTTTTGATCAAGTTCAGATAAAATCAAGGTGGGATGAAAATAGCAGGTGTTCTCAAATCGATGCCGAATTAGCAGAAACCATTCACATGCACGAGGAATTACCTTGTGCTGATGTTTATATAAAAAACAGACATGTAGGTCCATAAAAGGGAGCAGAGATCATTCATCGTTGCATCAATGTTGAGGAAGCGGCGCCCACTCGGCTCTCAAGTTGGGGGGGGGGTAAGCGCCCCCGCTGCCCCCCCCCTGTTCCCGTGGTCTATGCAGTGAACGACGCTACCAAAAAAAAAAAACATGTGACACCTAATAGCAGGTACTATAAATATGTACTCGTACGTATCCCGTCAGACCAGGGCCCGATTTCACCAAGTGAATATATTCCATTACGGCGGCGTACATATTCACTTTTGGCATATTATGACATTCAGTTTCACCAAACTCCGTACAGGGATACTTATTCAAGACAAAGACAAAGTACTTTGGAACTGTTGGTGCAGTCATACTGCGCTTATTGAACATCTTGTCGAGCACTGTCCGGATAATTGTCCGGAATCACTTTTCATCCATCAACTGAAGCCAAGGCTTAATGGCACAACATCGGCATATCCCCTGTCTGTTGTAAGGTAACCTTGCTTACAATGTGTAGCTCTTCATGCGTCGAAACAACCGCCTTCAGATGTCCGTTTTCCGAAAGCCCACTTTTACAGGCTTGGGATTGAGCTTTTTCAGTTTTATCCCACAAACCGTCAAAAGGGCAATAGTTTATTCGGCTGTGACTCGTGCCTTCCGCCTTTGCTCCAATTACAAATTGATTGATATAGAGCTGAACTTCATCAGAGATTTCTTCCAAAAGAACGGCTACCCCAAGCAGTTTATTGAAACAATTATCCGGACAGTGCTCGACAAGATGTTCAATAAGCGCAGTATGACTGCACCAACAGTTCCAAAGTTGGAGAAGTATTTTGTCCTCCCATATCTAGGTAAGGGTTCGATCAATATGCAAAATGAGCTAACTGAGATGTTTAAGAAGTTTTACCCATACCTAAGCCCCAAGATAGTTCTCAGGAATAGATTTACCATTGGAAGTCTCTTTAAATTCAAAGACAATGTCCCTATGTGCATCCGCTCTGGTGTAGTGTACCAGTTTCGTTGTTCCTCGTGCGAGGAATCGTACATAGGTTCCACCTATGTACGCTTGTACACCAGGGTATGTGAACATAAGGGCATTTCTGACCGCACTGGTAATATTCTAACAACTCCAAAACAATCGTCCATTCGCGATCACAGTCACACATGTGACACCCCTGTCTCCTTCAACGATTTCACCATTTTAGGCAGCGAGCCATCACATTCTCTCAGGATCTTGGAATCACTTTTCATCCATCAACTGAAGCCAAGGCTTAATGGCACAACATCGGCATATCCCCTGTCTGTTGTCAGGTAACCTTGCTTACAATGTGTAGCTCTTCATGCGTCGAAACAACCGCCTTCAGATGTCCGTTTTCCGAAAGCCCACTTTTACAGGCTTGGAATTGAGCTTTTTCAGTTTTATCCCACAAACCGTCAAAAGGGCAATAGTTTATTCGGCTGTGACTCGTGCCTTCCGCCTTTGCTCCAATTACAAATTGATTGATATAGAGCTGAAGTTCATCAGAGATTTCTTCCAAAAGAACGGCTACCCCAAGCAGTTTATTGAAACAATTATCCGGACAGTGCTCGACAAGATGTTCAATAAGCGCAGTATGACTGCACCAACAGTTCCAAAGTTGGAGAAGTATTTTGTCCTCGCATATCTAGGTAAGGGTTCGATCAATATGCAAAATGAGCTAACTGAGATGTTTAAAGACAAAGTATGACTGCATAAGTCCGTCGTTTTTCGGCATACTATTACATTTGAGGTACCTCTGGTACGCCGATCTGCTTTTTCAACAGCTGTTTGCCGAGTTTGCTGGCATTGAAAGTATGCTACTTTTTGTGGCATACTTTGAGAAACAGCTTGGCATACATCAATTTTTTGTATGATAATGTTACAAATTTAATGACTTCGTCGATGCAACGTATGATAAAAACATGCCACAGGCTACGCAAAAAGTTTTTGATGTCATAATGGTTATTTCTTGCTGGATATATAGGGTATCGTGTGTCAGGGCTTATATTGAAATTAAACCCCAGAACAGCTATTTTTATAAGGCTTATCTCATCGTGGCATCACTGCGATTAAAATCACCCCATCATGCAGAAACACAACAGGGAATTCCTTTTTTCATTCGCATTCCCGATTACATTCAGTTTTCCACTTAAAAAAAACGACAGTTCACATTGTATTTTGATAACACAAAAGGCCAAAAGCGTTTCAAATCTTTCTCACCGTGATTATTACACCGTGCTCTTTATACAGCGTTTTACCGAAGAGGAAGTAAATAACTGGCGAGGGCGAGAGGAAGGACTGAAGTCCAGTCCAGCAACGCCTTGATTGACATGCCCAGCATGTTGCATCACAAGTCACAACGCGTTTACATTCGTTTTCATCGCCCACTTTTGCTATTTCTTTGCAGTACCCATATGCTGTTCGGTTCAATGTCCATATTTTTTTTTTGTGTGTGTGTTGTGGCCAAATGATTCAATTTATCACCGGCTTCCCGCTTCCGTTCAGGTTCAGTCTGCCGAATGATTCCGAAATATTCTCCATATTTGAAGTCGTCCGTAGACCCTTCGATTATTTAAAAACTTGATTCAAGTAATATTTCAGATAACTTGTCGGCTAGTCGGCCGTGCTCCTTACAATCGTCAGTGATCGGTAGTTAGATATAAGATAGGTGCCTCAAGTAATGCCATTTCTTGTTCGACTTTATTTATATTTGCTTTGAACCACTCCAGAATTGCGTAGAAGATGTGAACAAATATTGAAGCAATATCTAATGAGAAGTGATTTGGAAGAAAAAATTAATATCAATTCAAAATCCAATAAAACCCACACACGCCAGTAACGTCAACTGTGCTGCGCGGCTTGCTGCCGATTGTTTACATTTTTGGCTTTGGAATATCATGCTCCCAGCAAAAATCAAGAGCATTATTAGCAATATTTGTTTAGGTACTTCCTCTTGTATGATCAGCAAATTTAATTCTTATTAGCGTAGCTAGAAATTTTTTCCATAATATTGTATATCTGAGCATTTAAGCTCGTCGACTTTAAATACGGAAAAATATAGTGACTGCATGTCCCCGACAAGAAAAGATATATGCATGCGCGCCGGTGGCTCTCTAAGTACGTAAAGCGGGCGTATTGAATATATTCCTGTGGCGAAACCGAATAGTATTATCGTCGTACTTTGTCGGTGTACTTTTCCAAAGTACACCAAGAATATATTCACTTGGTGAAATCGGGCCCAGGACGGGGATCCGGGATAGTACTATACAATATACATTCACACAGGACTATGTATTTCGTGCTGCATGACATCACATTTTCATCAACACTCTGAGTGCTAGGCAAGCCAACAACAAGGCGTCAATTCTGTAGAATGCATTTAATGATGATCGTAAGCTCACAAAGCATAACGAGCGTGTTAGTTCAACACATTGCCGCCAGGGGCGCTGAGGTCGCTAATGCTGAGAAATAGGCCAAAGTGTCGGCGGTCGGCGCCGCATGGGAGTTAATGTTTGGGGGAAATGAAAAATGCCACACGGTTTCTACGTGTCTGGGGCACGATAATATCAGTGGAGCACCATGTTTTGCGAAAAAGTGCCCAAAATGACACAACCTAATGCCCGTTGTGTCCCTGACAGACCTGTGGCGCCCCTGCTAGGCCGCCGGTGCCTCTGAAAGAACTGTGGTGCCCCTGACAAGCCTGAAGTGCCAACGACACGCCCGTGGTGCCCCTGACTGGCCCATGATGCCCTTGCGAGGCCGGTGGTGTCCCTGTTAGCAGACTGGTTTTTGATTCACCTTTTTTGGATCGATTCAATCATTGATTTATTTGATTTTTGTTTGATTCAATCACCGTTTGATTCCTTCAAAAATTTTGGTTAATCGATTCCTTTGATTCAGATAATCAAAAAACAATAAAAGGAATGATTCACGCTTGATTTAGCCAATTTTTTTTTGAATGATTCTTTTTTGATTCAATTAAAAAATAAAATATACAAAATATCAGGGATAGTATTGTATTTGTTTTGTTCTTTTTGTTGTCATGTATTGGCAGTAGTGTTAATATTTGTTGATAATGAACTATGTTCCTTCACTTCGATTTTTTTTTAAGTTCATGAATCATTAATTTTTTTGATTCAATCAACCCTGATTCCCAAAGCGTTTGATTCGATCATGGCTTGTGAATCAAACAATCCTGACGGTGAATCAAACCTTTTTGATTCAACAAATTTTGTTTCATTCAATCCAATCGATTCAATCACAGATGAATCAAACACCAGTCTGCCTGCTAGGCCGGTGGTGCCTCTGCTAGGCCGCTGGTGCCCCTGGGCCATGACAGGACTGTGGTGCTCCTGACAAGCTTGGAGTGTCCCTGACAGGCACGTGGTGCCACTAACAGGCCCAAGGTGTCCCTGCGAGGCCGGTGGTGCCCGTGGCAGGCATGTGGTGCCCCTGAAAGGACTGTGGTGTCCCTGTTAGGCCGTTGGTACCCCTGGACCCTGACAGGACTGTGGTGTCCCTGGCAGGCCCAAGGTGGTGCCCCTGGCAGATCTGTGGTGCCCCTGGCAGACCTATGGTGCTCTTGCTAGGCCGATGGTGCTCCTGACAGGCCTGTGGTGCCCCTGACAAACTTGTGGTGCCCCCGACAGGCCCGTGGTGCCCCTGACAGGCCCAAGGTGCCCCTGCGAGGTCGGTGGGGCCCCTTGCAGGTCTGTGCCTGTGGTGCCCCTGGCAGACCTATGGTGCTCTTGCTAGGTCGATGGTGCTCCCAACAGGCCTGTGGTGCCCCTGACAGGCCGGTGGTGCCCCTGGCAGGCCTGTGGTGTCCCCGGGCCCCAAGGGGCGGGGGGTCATGACCCATATGACCCACCCTTGGATCCACCACTGGTCATTACTTGCAGACTGACTCATTTGACATCCATTGCAAAACAAGTCACATTAGTACGTTTGTCACCCTGTTCCTTTATGCCCATTTCGGGGCATTTCCCCCCCCCCCCAATTAACATGTTAAAATAGGCCCTGAACATTGTTGGAGGCCTGTGCGATTTGTAAACGAACGCTTATCTAGAACGCATAGGCGGCGGAACGGGGGGGAGGGGCGGCACCGGGGCACCGTGCCCCCTTGATTTTTGAAGGGACACCAAAAGCGAAGCGTCCCCTTTTAATTGTGTACAGTAACAATCAGATGCATGGATAACTAACATGGATTGGACTAGAGGTCTGCACCGGCCAGCTGCAGCCGCGGCTGGCTGCAGCCCCACGGCTGTGGGTCGGGGCGGCTGCAAATATCTCCAAGAACACGGCTACGGCTGTGGCCACGGCTGTGAGACTTAAAGCTCAATCTTAACATTCTTAAGTACTCAAATAGAAAATTTTAAATGCTTAATCTTACATTCTGATAAGCAGTCTAGCCTGTAAAAATCATGCAAAGGATGCCCAGCAACACTAAAAGTGGTGAAGCCTTGAAAACCTGTAATGTTTTTATCATTTGCCATCATAAGTAGGGGAGCTTGCACCCTGGTACAGATGACTAATAATATACACTGCTCCCTCTTCATCACGAGCTTGACAACTTCAGAAAATGCACCATGTTGCATTGTCATATCCCTTTCAATTTTCAAATCAATCTTACCTGGTCATTAGGAGAGCACCTTACAGCTATTGAAGACAAGCGTTCAATAATTCTTTCAGGTAATAAAAAAGGAATAACACCTAGGTAAAGGCAGTTAAAGGCTTCATAAAATAATAAATATTATGTTGCCGAAACGTCATTATTCTTTTCCTCAGGTTAATAGATCTCTAAACCTTATTTTTTTCCAAACGGGCTTCGCTGAGGAAAACTAAATACACCTTTTTGCACTCAAAATAGGCATCTTTTCATTCAATTTCGGCGAATTGCATTCAATTTTAGCGATCTCTCTATTCGAAGCAAATGAGAGATCGCTAAAATTGAATGCAATTCGCCGAAATTGAATGAAAAGATGCCTATTTTGAGTGCAAAAAGGTGTATTATAACCAATTATTTCGGCTTTATTGATCAGCCTTGTTCACTGGTTTGAAATACATTTTTCTCAAAAACATGACCTCAAAATTCAAATATTCATATCGTGCCGTCAGTGATGACGATCTTCTAGCTTACGAAAAAACCGAACAAATGAATCGTGGTGAAACACATTTCAAGGCACACTGTAACAGGCAAACGCACACATGTTCCTATCTCAACGCAATGTCCCAAATAGGGCTGATGGTGACCTTCCCGACCCCTGTTCATTGACGAATTGTGCACCTTAATCTCCAGTGCCTCACGGATTGTCCTACGCTTCCAGTTTCTTTCAACTGCCAATGTTTTCGCGTCTCTTGGATTTAATGATTTGTTGCATGAGTAGGCATGCTGAGCTGTTGCTGACGTGTCTGTGCGACCATGTTTTAAATCAGCCATGTGCTCCTTCATTCTGGTTGATTTTGGACGTCCACTTTCTCCTATGTAGGACTCACTGCACTCCAGCGGCGTCACCACGGTTTCAGAACTTCTAGGGACACTTTTCCAGGGCGCCGCCACAAACCTTTGCTTGAGTCTGGGCGCCAATACCCACCTACCCCCAAATATGCGTTCCTCGTTGGATTTCGGCCACTGTAATTTAAAAACGAG